AAAGAAAGAAAGAAAGAAAGAAAGAAAGAAAGAAAGAAAGAAAGAAAGCACAAAGAGAGATAATGTTAAGGTGGGAGATAACACAATGAGCAAAGGAAGAGGAAGGCCAATGGGACAGGACACAAGGCCCTTCCAGCCTCCTCAGCTACCCTCTTCAGACTGCCCATGCCAGGCTCCAGCAGAGTTATTTGGTAATAATAATACTAAAAGAACAAGAAAGTATCATTTTTTAAAATACCAAATTGACAGTTAAACTGAGAAAATAAACTCTGTGTGTGGTAGAGACCCCTTAATAGAACACAGTATCTCACAAAGAGTACTAAACGGCACAATGAAAAATGCTAATTGGGCAATAAAATTTTTAAAAATCAGATAGAGGCATGGTATAGCATCCTAACTGTATGAGAGGAAAAAAAAAAAACACATTTGGGGAGCAGGTCTTGTTACTCAGGCATATCCTGAATTTGTCCTTCAAAGCTTAACAATTCCCAGGATCTTAAAACAGTAGGATGACAGTTATGGGACCATTTAAATCATCACATTCATAGTAAATATGGGATCGCATGCAATTCATTGACGTTCCTGGCAGAGATGGTTTTCATTCACAGCAGATCCTCTCACAAGCCATAAGGTTCCTCTTGCGAACAGTTGCCAGGCGCTTTTTTTCTCTTCTAGACAGATGGTGGTAGAGAACCATCACAAGTCTTGGGTGAACACAATCCCAAGCCTGTTTACGTTCACTAGTCCCTCAATCCTGGGCAAGGAGATTTCTCTGAGGACCTCAGTCTCATCTCTTCACAGTAAAAGTGAAATCCACTCTATCTGGCCTGGTCAGTTGACCTTTGGCTCTACCCTCCTCTGCATGCCCCCATGACCTCCCCTGCCTGCATGCTCTTCTGCATCTGACCCAGTGTGGGCATTTATACTGACGTCTGTCCCCTTCCTCCACATTTACCTCTTAGGCAGAATGGAAATGACAGCCTGGACTCCAGTCACTGGAAAGAGCTTGTCAGACTATCATCAAACTTTCATGGAAGTGCTTTCAGATCCTTGGGTAATCTAACACGTGATCAGTGAAGTGATAGTCTTTATGAACAGTTATAGACTGAAACTTTTACAAAGTTTTCCTCTCCTAAAACGTGACTCCTTAAAGTAAAGGTTGTTTTCCTCTAATGGTGCTAAGGACTGGCTCTGCTATCAGTTATAGTCCCAGGCTTTTCTGCACTTCTCATTGGAAAATGGGGCCTCGTTAAAATGCCCAGACTGCCCTTGAACTTGCTCTGTAACCCGTGAGGACTCTGAACTTCCAATTCTCCTGCCTCAACCTCCTGAGTAGCTGAGATTATAGGTCTGCATTATCAGGCCTGATTGAAAAACTGTATACGTTAACTTTACAGTCAGAGTTCCATTTAACAATTTTCTATATGTGACAAACAAAATGAAGTATTCTTTAAATCTATTTTTAATAGATACAAAAGTATCTGTTAGTATGATATCCTGTGGTAGTCCAATACATAGATATATTTCATATTTTCACCAGGTTAATCATACACATCTCAAACTCCCATCATTTTGTGTAAAAACATTAGAAAGTCTTTCTTGTAGCTCTTTGAGATGTACAGTACATTAAGTGTCAACTCTTTTGTCCCTGCTTTGCAATGCCACGCCAGCACTTACTGCTCTCATCCACTAACTTAGCACCCACTAATCAAAATTTTCAATCTTCCACTCTCTCAGCCACTGGGAAACACCATTCAGTTTTCAATATGAGTGAAATTAATCTCCACATAAGATCTGGATCATGCAATACTTGTCCTGCGAATAAAAAAAATTGTTCTTTTAACACCATATTTTTATATGATGTACTAAACCTCTAACTCAGCCATGTAAGGAACAATGAGACGTGCAGTCACACAGCTGTGGGTTGAAATCCTTCCCTGCCGTCTAGGAGCTATGACTGACAAGACACTTAGTCTTTCAGAGCCATGATTCTTAACACGGTTGGTGTCACAGCCGTAATCTCCTTGCTCTCCAGGATTGTTCGGAAAAGAAAATGGGGCATTGGGTATGAGAGCACTCAGAAAACTGTTTCCATATGCCTGGATCTCCTTCTTATTTTCATTCCTTTTCTAGAGTTTATGTTCTAGTAAAACATGTATACCACTTGTAGTTTTACTTTTCAAACCTTGTTCTGAACAAGTCAACAACAGTATGCCCAAAATATTTCAGCTTATATAATTAGAGGTACTACAAGAAGCTGTGTATTCCAAATCAGTAGGTCAGTGGTCATTTTTACAGCTCCCCCCCACCACCACCCAAGCCAGAGTTGGAAGCAGTTCTGATGTACCTGCAGAGAACTGCTGTGTAGCTATCATATGTAAACACACTACACTCCTCCTTACATTTTTGGAAATCAACTATGTAGCAATGATTCAAACTCATTTAACATCCACTTAGCATGCCCCCAAGGCAGTAAGCACACTTCTGGAAGAGACAGCCCTGTGGGCAAACAGTGACCTCTGTCATCTGATGAGTGTTACAAAATGCAGAGGATTTCCAACTCCTCCTGGGGAAATCAAGAATCAAAGTGGAAAGGTGCCTTGAGCTGTGCCTTTAGGACAAGAAAGTTTCTGGTCTGGAAATACAGAAGACAGGATATGGGATTCTAGCTGGAAACAGCTTGACTGATGGTCTGAGAGAGTGTGGCCTGAACAAGGACTGGCAAAGGCTGAGTGTGGACAGTGACAAGAGCGGAAATCGCCATCCAGATTGGTTGGAGTCAGACTACAAAGTCTGCTGTGTCATCTGGACTCCATCCCCAGGGCAAAGGGAAGTCAGTATCACTGTGATCTGCAAAGTCAGAGTTCTTGCCTGATCACATCACTAGCATTTTCAAGGGAATCAGATTCTTTACAGAGCAGTAGGAGAACTTTACCAGGAAAGGAATACCATGCTACACTTATGCCACAAAAAAGTATTTTAAAAACCACAAAGACATCTTTATACAGTGACGGGCATTACAGGCTGGTTTACTCAGAAGGAATACCAATCCCCTTGCCCCTTAGTTTCTAGTGTCTCTTACAATTTAGTTTTCTCTCTCTCAATCTCTCTCAATCTCTCAGTCTCTCTCTCAATCTCTCTCAATTCTCTCTCTCTCTCTCTCTCTATCTCTCTCTCTCTCTCTCTCACATACACACACACATACACACACATATACACACATACATGCACTCTCTCTCTCTCTCTTGACAAGGTCTCCTTGTAGTCCCAGCTGGCCTGGAACTCACTGTAGACCAGGCTGGCCTCCAACTCACAGAGCTCCCCTTGCCTCTGCTGGGATTAAAGGCGTGTACGCACCACCACTTCTGGCTACAACTTGGTTTTCTATGGAAAAGAAACACACCTCTGGGGACCCTGGCGCAGGTCGGTGGCAGAGATTGAGCTCCTGGACTAGAATGGTCCTGGTTGGCTGTGCATCTCCATGGACCGCATAAGAAGATGCTAAGTCTGCTTCTCTGCCTTTCCCTGTTTGCTTCCTGATATCTTTCAACAAGCATCTTTCCACTACAAGGGATTTGACATCAGCAAAAGAATTCTGATCAGAACAAGATCACAGAGAAGTGTATTTTAAATTTGGTCCTAGACCTAACAAACTAAAACTCAAATTAAAAACCACTTGTGGCATACAACCTTTGTCTAAAGTAAACAAAGATAAGCTCCCTGTTACACTGGCAAATCCTAAAGACCACTGTTCCTGAGGCTCTGTGCTCATGATATAGTAGGAGCCTTACAGCACCACAGGGCCCTCCCCTAGTTCCAGGATACTAACATTTCTGGCCTCTCTGCTTCCAGACTAGTGGTCCTCCACTTGGAGGATTTTGCCATTCAAGAGACACTTGGAAACATCAGGACATTTGAGTTTGCTTAATCTCCTTGAGGGAAAGGGAGGTAACACTGGCATATAGAGGATACAGACAAAGGATGCTGCTAAATGCACAAGACAGGCCCCTTCTCTCTCTCTCTCCCTCTCCTCTCCCTCTCCTCTTCTCTCTCTCTCTCTCTCTCTCTCTCTCTCTCTCTCTCTCTCTCTCTCTCTCGTTGGTCCCAGATGTCAAGGGTGCCAAAAGAAGCACATCCAGCCCTAAGTGCTAGCTCTTTCTAAATGTACACTGGGGCACGACCCTTCCCAGTTTAAATCACTTCAGTGACACCCTTGGACAGCCCACTGCTTTCTACCTGGAGCACCTCTTACTGCTCACACGATGCACCTTAGCCATGCTGTCTGGTTACACCAGCAAGCCACCTTCCTGCCTAGTCCACTCTCACTCCTCTTTCAGGTCATTGCTCAGGGAAGATATTTTGTCTCTGTCCCTATCTCTAAGCTTGGTGAGGCACAATGCTGCGTATGCTGCCCTGATACCCTCCACTTCCTTTCTGAGTATGCTCCCCATAAACTGCAACTGTCAAGTTGCTTAATGTATTGTCCTTGAGATAAATAAGTAGAATACAGACTGAGACGGCTTATTTGTTGTTGTATGACAAGTATTTTGCTCACTCATTAGTATCGGTTAGACTTCAAAAAGCTGCAGCTCACCAAGGGCTAGCCAAGAAGGCACAGGGTGACTCACAATTAAGGTCTCCATGGCTACTTAGCACACAATAGAAGGAAGGACAATTAGTGAAAGTCTTAAAGAATTAAAGAAAAACACCCTAATATTCAGAAAGTTGCATTATACAGAGTATGGTACCTGGTCATCCCTGTGAGCTCTAAATAGGAGAAAGAAGCTTACATGAAAGAAGAAAGGACTGGACACAATGACGACAGCATTTAAAGCATATATATATTGGTAAAAGTCAGAGTTTCAGTAGATCAATGCCACCACTCACCATGCATTTCACTGAATAAAACTGTAAGTAACTCAGTTCAACTATTCCACAATCTGTCCGTATTTCAGGACAACATGAATAAATGTATGAAAATGATAAATATATTTAATTTTATTTACCAAGTAAAATTCTTAAATGTGAGTTAAGATATTTTTAAAACAAGTTTCCATCTTCAGGCATACGAACACATGCACACATATATGTAGGCAGATATATACAATATTTGTGTGTGTGGTTATTGAGCTTCATGCATGCTAGACACGTGCTCTACCACTCAGGCCCTTCTACCTAGTATAACACAGTGTGGGAATGGTTTAAAGTCCTGCAAAATATTAGGGGAACAAAGCAGGAGAAAGGATTTGTAAGTCAGCCGAGGGATAATTTTGGTCAGAGAAGCCTACTGAAGTCTAGAGCAGTGTGAGATAAACCAGGTTAGGAGAACAACGGGGAGGTCCAGCCAGCTTTCTAGTGGAGCAGGGTGCTAAGGAAGGAGTGTAAACCACCTTCCCAAGGACAGTGACTTCGTGTCGTAGGGTACTGGATAAGAGAATGATGCAGGTGAACTGAAAGAAAGGCTGAAGGAGCTCAACACATCGGCCAAAGCCACAGGAAGCCACAAAAGGCTTTAAGCCAAGTCCAAGTTGATTTAAGTGCTACACAAAATCCCCCCAGGTCAAGAGTTGATGTTTAGAGAAAGGCAGTATTGGACAGGGGGTTTAAGGATTAAGAGACTATTTGTGATCCAGGTGAGATGTGATTGGATTAAACCAAACCAGTAACAACATGGGAGGGAGGAAGGAGGTGGGAAAGAAGATTCATTACTGTTTAAGAAAGTTCGAGAGTGACTGGACTCAAAGAGGCAAAAGGGAAAGGGCTTTGGTTGTCTTCCTGACACAGTCTCTTCTATCCCAGTCTGGTCTCAAACTTGAAAGAAATGCCCAGAAAGCACAAAGAAAAGCAGAAATGTCATTGATACCACAGGTGATAAAGAGTATTGTGAACACAAGAGCAGAAAACAACGTCAAATACAAAAAAGGACAGGCAGGATGAGGCTTAATGTGTTTAGTAGTAGGTGACCACCAATCACCTTGTAAGACAAGTGGCAGGAGGTGATGTCTGATGAGAGCCAGAGGGAAGGGAAGGGAAGGGTGGCCAGTCATTAAGTGCAGAGTTGTGGCTCAAGAAGATGGCTATTTGTGTATGTGTGGGGGGGGGTGACACAGCAGTATAACAGTGTAATACTAGGTGCATATCAGAGTTGGCTTTCTTGAGGGACCTGAGTATGAATCCTGGCTCTGTGATCTTGGATAAGTCATGTTATACCAGACATCATTTTTTTAGTTGCAAAAGGTTAATAATCCACTGCCAGAGCCTCATATGACACCTAAATAAAATAATATACATAAAGTTTTATGATCAGTGCTTGAAACATGGCAAATAACCCAAAAAGGAACAATTTGATATTATCCTGGTATATAAATGCTTCCAGATAGAGGGAAACAGGAAAAAGATGAGTCAATGGTTTCTTGAGGGTCCAGAAGGGCAAGGCTACAAACATCTTGGGGAGCACTGATCCCCGGAAAAGAGGAGAGATGCCTCACCTGAAGGTATTTTAAAATCTGAGGAAGGGTGAGTCCCAGAGGAAAGTCAATCCCAGAGTACCGTTCACAGCAGACTGCCTGTGGTAGCTCCCATCAAGCTCTCCACAGGGCTTCCTCCTCCTTGCTGAATGCACCCCTGATTGCTTCCTAATAAGCCCTGGATCCTGGCTATCTGTGCGAATACCGTGAGCTCATTTCCACAACAGATGATCATTGTATATAAGTGATGTGTAATTTGTCCAAGATCAGTCCTCCCTATAACACTGACAATCTTGCCTCTCTAGATCCTGCAGGAACCACACACCCACCTTTCTCTAGCTTTGCTCTGCCTGGTAAAGCATTCCTCCTCAGCTCTTGTATATAGTGACACATCTATCGAGTGGATTTGAGTTGTGTTTCCCAGTATTCTCTGAGAAGCTCAGGAACCGTCTTACTCAAACATGTTTTAAGTTTGGGAACTTGGTATGGCTAGACTGGCCTCACCCATCTCCTACGGCAGTCTGCAGAGCAGTCCTCTGATGAAGGCAGATTCGTGGTGCCAACTTCCATCAGAACAGTACTTAGTGAGTCTGCTCCCCTGTTTCTTTTCTTCCTCACCCTCTTCCCCTAAAGACAAGATTATCTACAAGATTCTCATATTTTAAAGCAACTAATATTGGTTACCAATGGTCTTCAGGCAAGGCCATGTTTTTCTTGTTATTGCCAATAATCTTTACTGTGCAAATTAATAATATTTTTCTAATCTCAAAATTGATTTTATATTGCTGCTCAAACCATACTCACACATATATTAATTCCTTTTTACTGAAGAGTCAGGATAACCTCACACCACTTAATAACAGTAAGAACAAGTCTAATAGTAAAAATAAAATACTCAAGAAAGCTTCTTTGTTTTCATCTGTATTTGAAGACCAAATTTGTATTCCATCAAACAGCCAAACTGCTGTTGCTGGGTTTTGCTGTGAGAGCCTTTTCAAATGATGCCATCATGTCAAGCCATGGCTTCGGATAATGACCATCCAATGTTTTCAAAATCCCTATGTAAGAACATCCCACGTCTCTGAATCTGAAGAATGAATAATCACATATAAGGGAAAATAACACTTTACCTGGTGCAGAAGTTCCATGGGAAGGATCCCCGTAGTGCCCATAGTAAGGGGAAGAAAGGCCCATTCCCGGCTGGGACTGAGAATAGGGAGGCGTTGCCACATAACCTTGTTGGCTCATTATGAAAATACCATTCCAGAGAGCTGCTGCCGAAGACCCCTGAAAAGTAAATGCAAAAATCAACAAGGAGAGTTTGGATTCTTAATGCTGTCAAAACATAAACATGATTAAGAAATGTCTACGATGACTTGAAGAATGGCAAGCATAGTAGCATGAAATATTGTCACTTTATACAATATAATGTGCCTTAACCAGGGCTTAAGCAGTGCTTTGGAATCAGTAATATCCCTCAGTAGTCCCAGGAAAATTTGCAGGCATAAAATCAGAATAGCAATTACCAAGCACTTCTTCATGGGAAGCCTGAAGTGCTTCACAGTCTCTCAGTAGTAGTCATGCAATTCTGTGTTTGGGTTTCAACTGCCACATTTCAGCAGAGGCCACATCATGCCACTCTAGTGGCTGACCACCATAGCCATCACAGTCTGCAGCCAGATGTTTCATGATGTGGTAGTGCTCTTTCATTCAGTCATTTAAGACAAGGAAAAACCATAGCCCAATAAATACAATCCAAGATAGAACTGATAATGGCCTTTGTGTGTCATAATTTGACAAACCACTGGCAGTTCCAACCATTTGAGAGTTACAATTGTCAGTCTAAGATGACAGGACTGTCTTCTGACTTAGATGATGTCACACTTCTAAGAACATATGCACCTATATTTAAGGAACTAGGAAAAAAAAGTGTAGTTTCATACACAATCACAAACATAATAGTTCCACCTTGAGCATATTCAGAACTCAAATACAAATTTGCTTTACATTTTTGTGTCCAGGTTTTCACAAGACTAAAGGCATTTTCTAGGGAGGTTTTCTAAAGACATTTATAACGATAGAAGAGGCTCAGAATCTTGGCAAACGAAGTGGGTTCCCATTGCCTATCTGCCAATACTTAGTTGGTGGCACAAAGTTGAAATTGCTCTCTAGGCCTGTTTTCAGTTTTAGAAAATGAAGTTTCTGAGCTGGGTGTGGTGGTATACGCCTTTAATCCCAGCACTTGGGAGGCAGACACAGGCAGATCTCTGTGAGTTCAAGGCCAGCCTGGTCTACAAAGTGAATTCCAGACCAGCTGGGGCTATAGGGAGACCCTGTCTCAAAAAACCAAACCAAAAAAAAACACAGAAAAATTAAGTCTCCAAAAGCTATATTATATATGAAGCACTTCAGTCTCTTCACCCAGCACAAGCATATTTCTCATTTTATTCTTTTGTTTGCTACATTTTTGAAATTAATTGTTTTTTAAATTATGTGTCTGTGTATGGGTATGTGCACCACCTGGGATGCCCTGGAGCTAGAGTTACAGGCAGTTGTGAGCGGCCCAATGTGGGCACTAGCATCCAAACTCCATTCCCCTGGAAGACTGGTACCAGTACTTGCTCTTGAGTCGTAAACTATCTCTCCAAGCCCATTGTTGGCTGCTTTTCAGGGTAAAGACTGTTAATACCTTCTAAGATATCTATATTTATTACAGAAATAGCATGCAAATTTAAAATATGAAGGCTAAAATTCATGTTTTGGCTGTTTTCATATTAAACTGTAAGGTTCCAAAATTAAGGTAGCCAAGTAAAAGTATTATGAGATCACTGTGTTCTTGACCCAGGACAGAAAGGCAGACAAATGTCTCTGGTCCACTGTGTTCCTGACAACCCTTATCCCCTCCTCCCATTGAGCAATGAGAGACGTGGCAGCCTGTGCTCTGCTGGAGCCCATCCGGCCCGGAGCCTTTGGAAGACCGACCAGCACACACCTACGCAGCACACAGCTGAGGGCAGAAAGGCAGCGACCATCACCCGGTAAAGAACGCGAAGCGGCCGAGCCCTCTTCCCTGGTCCCGGGAGGAACTCGCTTGCTCGCACAGCTCACTTTGCCACGTCAAACTTCCTCACCAGAGCACCAAGTTGCAGAAACCTGACTCAGCTGCAAGCGGCGACATGGCAGAAAGCCACTTGGCAGCAGCAGGCCCGGGATCCACACTGGGGTGCCGGATCCCAGAGACAGCCTCCCCGCCCCTGTCTCCCGGCCCCTCCAGCCCGGGTGCGCTGCCCACCCGGGGCAAGCTCGGCTTCAAACCATCAGTCTCGCTCAAGGACGCCCCGGACCCGACACTGCAGTTGCCATCTGCGCTCGGGTATTTTCAGCCTTCTGTGGGAGTGAGGGAACCGAGCTGATGGAGAGGAGGGCACCGCAGGAACGCAGCGGCCCGAGGAGGTCCCCGGCAGCTCGCGCAACCCGAGGCCGGAGGCCAGGCTGGGATGCCCCGCGCCCCGCGCCCGCCGCCTACCTGCCAGCTCCGCACGCCCGGTTTCCGCGAGCCCGCGGTTCCGCCGCCGTCGCCGCGCACCGGACCGGGAGTGCCACGTCAGGCCCGCCGCGCCCGCGCTGGA